CAAATAAATATCATTAGCAAACAAATAAATATCATTATCACTATCTGTCTCTGTTTTTTATTTTTGGCAGTCTCATTTAATGTTAATAAAAATCAAATTTGCATATTTTTAAATAAAAAGTGTGTGTAATATTTGTTCATGTCTTGCAACTCTCAAACATCTGCCGTTTATTCTATGTGGCTCTTACGCTGAGCCAGCTCCATTCAAGGCATTGAGTATCACATACAAAGTTTGGTGTAGTGGTTAAGTGCGCGGACTCTAATCTGGGAGAGCCAGGTTTGATTCCCCACTCCTCCACTTGCACCTGGCTGGATGACCTTGGGCAAGCCGTGGTTCTGATAAAGAGCTGTTCTTGAAAAAGAGCAGCTTCTGTCAGAGCTCTCTCAGCCCCACCTACCTCCCAGGGCGTCTGTTGTGGGGAGTAGAAGAGGAAGGAGTTTGTAAGCCGCTCTGAGACACCTTTGGGTAGTGAAGGGCAGGGGTATAAATCCAATCTCTTCTTCTTCTTCGTGGCCTTGCACCCTCTTATCTGTGGGACAGCCTCTTTCCCCATGCTCTGCCACAACAACCTTTCTCATCTTAGCAGGGTCTTCTGCAGGTGGCAACTTGCCAACGGGGAAAATCAATACCAACCCATCCTTGTGCCTTCTCTGTGGTGCCCCCCCCCCCGATGGAAGGGCCTCCCTGACAAGGTGAGGAAGGTTCCCACTCCCCTGGCTGTTTGCAAACGATGCAAAACTGGATTATTCCAGAGGGATTTTTGCACAGGTGAGCAGAACTGCACTGTAACGAAATGGTTCAGGGAGTTGCATTGGTAAAGAGATAGGATTCTGCAAGGTAGGTGGCCACTGGGAGTATGCTCCAGACTAGGCATAAGGGATTTTATGGCATCTTCCAGAGAAGGTGGCCAATGGCAATGCATTAAATGTGGCTAACATAAATGCTCTTCTTTGATGGGGGTCAGACTTACCTGAGGGACCGCCTTTCCCCGCATGTACCCCCAAGAGCACTTCGGTCGGGGACCCAAAACCGTTTGGTGATTCCAGGTTCCCGGGAGATAAAACTGGCTGTAACCAGGGCTAGATCCTTTTCAGTGGCGGCCCGTACCTGGTGGAACGAGCTCCCGGAGGAGATCAGGGCCCTGTGGGACCTTATGCAGTTCCGCAGGGCCTGCAAGACGGAGCTCTTCCGCCAGGCGTTCACATAGGGGCCACCGCTGCCACCACCACCAACGGTGGCTAATACCATCTGACTTCGGGATCGCCCTGGGAAGCTCAGCCATATACGATGTGGCATTAACAACATGGGACTGGTATGAACGATCAACTGGACAGCGGTACCCCAATGGGGCTGATTGGAAGATAGTCCACTCAAGACCATCTTGACCTAATGATAACCACTTAAGACCATCTATCTAATGAAGCACTTTATTGTTATTTATTGTTATTGTTATTACGGTTATAATCATGATTTTACGGTTTTATTGGGTTTTATGCTGGGCTTGTGCCCCCTGTAAGCCGCCCTGAGCCCACTTGCGGGGAGGGTGGGGTAAAAATCTCTCCCTTATTATAAAAGAGTAGTGGGTGCCAACGTTCTAAAATGCACACCTTTAGTGTATGGACGCTTGAACTGTCAGTCAGAAGACGCTGGCTGGGTTGACTGGCTGCTTTGTGCAGTCCCGCCCAGCGTTTCAAGGTCTTTTGCATATGGAAGCTGATTGGACTTCACTGCATTCCACACCTCAAACTCCCCCCCCCCAAAGGCAGTTGGAATG